CGGTGGAGTCTCCTCACCTTTCCAGTGTCTGCAGAGCCTTGCGGTGCAGCTCATCTTGCTTAGACTTCAGTGTGGCTGCAGGAAACAGGATGGAGTCTGAGCTATTAGGGGTTGCTGAAAAGGTGCCTTCCCTCCCAGTCCCATCCCCAGAGCACAGGAGCTCTGCAAGAAGCCCCACCAGGGCACTGTCTGCAAATCTCAATCGAGGTCCAGCAGCCCCAGCTGGCATTCTGTTGCCCTGGCGTCCTAGCACATTCCTTGGCATGTGGGTTCTTTCTACTCCATGACATTCCCCACCACCCTCTCAATGTAACCCTCTCAAAGGCCCAAGCCTACAAGGACTCCAGAACTCAGGCATCTCTCCCAGGAGGCCTGAGCCCTGAAAGAAAGGCCACCATCTCTGCCTGGCTACCTGCTTTCTGGGACTTTCTTACTCACTAGGCTGTGGCTTGACCCAAGCCCGGCACCTTGCTAGTAAATTGCATCTGGCTTTAAATGCAGCAGCGCAGATGTTCTTAGACTTGTCATCATGCTGAGTGCCTGGGGGGCTTTCGCATGACTGTACAGGCCCCACCCAGACCACATCTGAGCCCTCAGATTAGAAGCTGTGGAAATCACTGCTGCTCTGACAGGGTTCAAGACACAAGAGACCATTTTGATCAAAGCAGACTGTGACCATAGGACTAGTGACTCCCTCACTAGCCCACACAGGGACTGACAATGTCTGAAGATCCCATGACTGCTGGCATGACGAGAGGAGGTGGCTGGCACCAGGCTTCTACGTGGCTTCTCCCCTCTTCAGACAAGTGAAGCTGTGCAAGGACTCTGAAGCAAGGCAAAGCAGGCTCCTTGCACACAGCTCTGCTCCCAGGGGCTGGTACTGGAAGAGGTATGCAAGAGCCAGATCCCGTTCCAGGTTAGGTGTTGGTAAGGGCCATCATGCTATCCTTTCCTGACACAAGGATGCAAAAGTAAGTGGCTGCCTGATCAGTGGAAGAAGTACAGAGCTGAGCTGGCAGGGCTGTGGACAGAATATCAGGTCTGAGGCAGGAGGAAGTAGAACACATCAGCTAAGCAGAAGTATTTATGAAGCACCTGCTGTATTCTCAGCTGTATGTCATGTACTGAGACATACATGAAAGGGAGGTTTCAAAGACCTCAGAAGAGGCCTCAGTGCTGAGGGTAAAGAAGGGCCTGTGAGAGGCAGAATGAAGGTACCGTGGGACTGATAGGCACTATAGACAGCACAAGACCTAAATGGAGGCAGCAGACTGTGCTTTGCTGCAGCTGGGGCTGGGCCTAGAGGGAAAGACTGGGTCCATGAGATGGGACGTTGGATTGATAGTAGTCTGAGCAAGAGTGGAAATGGAACATGTATGTGCACATGTGAAGATTGTGCACGTATGTGTATCTATCCCAGAGAAGTAGACAGTCTCTGTGCGGGTGGCAAGGAAGGAACAGTGGTGGGACAAGGTGCCTCAGAGGCAGTATGGAAGCCTCACTCATCCTCAAGCAGAGGCCTCCAGCACCTGGCACTCACCGTCGGTGGCCTGCAGGCTGTAGGTGAGACCCAGGGCCAGGTAGCCCTTGGGAAGGAACTCCCCAGCTTCCTCCCCAAGACTGATCACCATCATGGCAAAGTGCTCTGCCTCCTCCAGCTGCAAAGAGGAGAGACAGAGGTCATTGGGCATGCCAGACAACAGTTACTAGTCTGGGACATTGCTCAGTATGTACAGAGAAGAACAGCAATTCCTCACATGTGGACAGCAGGACCAGAAGCCAGGTGGCTTGTCCAGGTACACAAGTACTAAATGGAAGAACCAGCTGTTTCCTCTACCAGCAAGTGACTCCCTGAACCTGTTCCCCCTCCAAGAGGCCCTGTGCTCAAGGTCACAGGATGCCACCTCTCCCAGGGAGAAGCTCCCCTCGTCTCTAAGATCCAGCTCCCCAAATCTTGTTCCATTCAGAGCATGAACCCATGACAGACCAGTCTGCACAGCTCTTTCTTCAGGTGGCCTCTGTGGCCCTCTACGCTGAGCTTATACTGCTCAGCAGAAGGGAGCCAGGGATGGGGGCTGGGTCTTGGGAACATGTGCTATGCTGGACATAGCCAGCCCTGCAGAGCAGGCAAGCTGCCTGGAGCTCACTCCTCCCCGAGGAGGGAGCCAGGGAGCTCAAACTTTCAGGGGAAAAAGGCCTGGGGCTGTTTTTGTCCTGAGAGCAGGGGGGACTGTTCCAGTTGGAAAAGGACGAACTGACGCAGGTCATGTGCCACATCATCATAGGACACCTCATCACACACTACACAGGACACAAAGAGAGGACACAGAAGGCAGGCCTCACAGACACTCTGGAACACCCACAGCAGTCAGCCTGGCTGAGGTGTCAGAACACATCACAGCTGGGGGCTGCTGCCCTGCCCACTCTCAACCACGTGCCTCTAAAAAACATCCCTTCCCTGGCACTCTACCTGGCCATATGCCTGGCGCAGCAGCTTCTAAAGGGCAGGTCTGCTTCCCCATCCCTAAGACCTGCACCAGCCCACAGCAAGGGGTTGAACACATCACATCCAAATCCTCCAGCACCACCCAGACACCAAAGCCCCAACCACAGGGTCTCCTCCAGTCAGAGGCTCTCAAAGTCAGTCACCCAGGGGAGCAGATTCACACTCATGCCGGCTTCAGAACCATTCTACTTTGCCTCAGGACAGGTCCATCCAACTCCCCCCAGCGGAACAGGGGCTGCTCTGTGCAGTTTATAGCTATAGCTGAGAGGGTGTACAGGTAGAGTCTCTCTCCTTCGAGTGTGGAACTGAGATTCTGAGACAGAGGTCCTTAGCTATGGGGAGATGAGTTGAGCTGAGCCTCCAATTTGGGAACAGCCATGATGGGCTGTGGTGGGGAGGGAAGGGTGGAGGACTGAATGAGCAGAGAACCCTTTCTATGGAGAAGGAGAAGATAAAACTCATGAGGCTAAATGCTCCATGTTCCTACATGGCCAGCACCATTTTGATTTATTTTATCACTCACAAAGCAGGTTTTCTGCATGTGGAGTCATTGCAAAAATTATAAGGGAAAAATATTATTATTAATCCTATTAAGTTAGACAGTATACAGTACAACAGCACACACTATTAATAGACATAGGTGCTCTAACTAGCTAGCATTTGGGGACAATGCTGTCACAGCAAAAACTAACACTAAATGAAAAAACAGACACATTATAATGCATTCTCCTGCTTCACCTAAGCAAGTGTGGGAGTACTAAAGCCCTGGAGAATTTGGCTTTGCCACCATGGCTCTGAAGTGCTAGAATCCCACCCAACTCCAGAACCAGCTCCTTCCTCACAAGTCAGAGCTTAGTGTAGAGACAAGGCAGCTTGGTAATAAGGACAAAGTGTTAGGTCACACTACCTGGGCTCAAGTCCTGGGGTGCTAATTTCCTAAATGTGTGATCCTGAGCAATTTACTTTCTTCTGCTGTGCCTTAGTTTCCTCTTCTGCAAATCAGGAATAACAAAAGTGCCTCCCTCATAGGGTTGCTTGGGAGGACAGTGTAATAAGACATGGTAAATGCTCTGAGCAGTGCATGACTGTGTCAAGTGTTAGTAGTTATTAGGTGTATTATTATATAAACGCATATAAATTACAACTACTACGTATTTATACATAAACATGCATGTGAGCACACATGATCTCACTGACAAATTAGGAAGTGGCTTCAAAGGCCTTCTGGAATCCAGAGAGGGGCACTACTGCTTGTCTTTTTTGTTTCTTGGCCTGCCTCTAGTAATAGAAAAATAGTGACTCTGCAGGACAAGCTGGCATCTCTGCAGCCCTGCTCAGTCCACTCTGCTGATTGTTCAAGCCCTGACCTCATCCATGGTCCAGGACACACATACACGTAACCTCCAGACTCGTTTACTGTCACAGACTCACTTCATCCTGTGGGTAATGAGCTCAAGTATTCTCCATCCTATTCTCTATAGCCCATTTCAATTTTTCTTTTAAGTGTTCTGTTCCATAACCCACTCGTGGGTTGTGATCTGAATTGCTGTTAATTTGATGGTTGTGAGCTGTCCAGTGCCTGCACTTCTACCAGCTACTCTCACTATCCTCCTTTTACATGGTACCTCAAATACCCTTTGTAGGCTCCAAATACTTGTCCCGTGGCCGTTAGTGCTTTGACAGAGGCTGCTGCTTCTGTGACCAGCTCAAGTTGCAGCACGGTGCCGTCCTTGCTCCTCGAAATACTTCTAGGTGAGGGGTTTCCGGCATCCCTGTCCACAACCCTCTATAACCCCATGCACTGTCTCTAACACCCTGCTTACCCAGGGCAGCCATGTGACCTGACAGAACAAGTGTTTCACAACTGAAGGTTCTGCGGTATGGGCAACTTATGCGACCCACCTAAGGTTACCTAGCTAGAAGTGGCAGAACTGCATCTCTAGCCCAGGTCTTCTGATTCTAAGGCTTCGGAATTCATGGCTGACCTCTGCAGTTTTTCAGCTTCCTCCTCTCTGACACTTTAGAAAAAGGATGCATTGAACAGTATAACATTTGATGGTTTGGTTTTGCTTTACGTAAGAAAGGAAAAATTCCTTATGACTTCCCAAGTTCCTCTGTCTCTGCAGTTTTCCTAATTTGGTCCATGCACAGCAGGCTGGCTGCTGGCACATGTAGCTAACTGATGCTCAGGGCTGCCTTCCATCTCAAGGGCGGTCTCGTTCACCTGCAATGGGCAAAGAGGTTCCATCCTCCGATTCACCACCCTCTTCCTCTTCTCCTGGGGACAAGAAAAGTCCCTGTCTGACTCTGCAGGACTCTATTTAAAGAGACTTCCACTTTGTCCTTAGTTCTGTCCCATAGGACCCAGAACCCACTGTTCATTGCTCTACAGAAAATCCTTTTTTTAATTCCTGGGAGGAGTAGGCACTTTCTAATTTCTGCAAGGTGGTAACAGGAGAGTTAGTGTTCTTTTTTCCCTACCTCATAAATACTGGATCCATTTTCCTGGCTCTGCCCACTCTTGAATTTTAAAAATGAAGGCAAAACTGTAAAGATACATCCTTTATGAATCCCTTCTATTTTGAAGGGATTATAACAACAACAGCAACCATTTACCAGGTACTTGCAAGGTGCCAACCAGGGATCCTCCTCATCTCTGAGGTTCACAGCAACCCTGTTACACTGGGCATGACTGTTCCCAGAGTACAGATGAGGAAACTGAGGCAGAGAGGGTAAATCAGTCCCTCAAGTCACATAGCTATTGAGTGAATAGGCAGGGACTTGAACCCTAGCCTCTCTCCTCCTAAGCCTGAGCTCTTTCCACCTCCCTCTCTGCCTCCTCAGGGGAAATTTGTGGCCTGTGACAGACGTGTTCCATTTCACATCACCTCTGCTGTCTGTGTGACACACAGTATACATGCACACCCTGTCCTCCAGGCCTCCAACAGCAGTTCCAACTTTTTAAATCAAATGCATTTTAAATAATTGTGTTTGGAGGGATACTAAAAAATATGTAATCTCCCTTTCCTCCTGCTCCAAAAATGGGAATCCTGGCAGGTTGCTGGCCAAGCCAAGGCATGAGAATGCCATACAGGTCTGTCTGGTTTCAGAGCTATTGTCATGTCCCAGATCCCACCCTGGGAAGCCAAAGAGCCTCCAGCTAAGCCCAGAGGGGTGGAAGAGGGTTGTGCTCCCCCCCATCCCAAACCTATTCCAGTTATTGTATCCTGCTGCAAAGCAGCCAGCACATGACTGTGTGGATCCCTCTGCTGGCACAACCTTGTTTTCAGACCCAGACCCAACATGAGGCTTCCCACACTGGCTCTGGGCACAAGGACAGGATGCAGGGACAGCAGGTGCTCTGCCTCAGGCACATGGCCACCCAGGCTGGTTCTGCCCAGCACAACTCGTTTTTCAAATGTCCCAGTTTCAGCCTCCCTTCCCACAAGCCAGGCCAAATGATACACCCCCAGATTTTTGTCCTGTGTTCATGGGGCTTGGCTGGATGATGGCTGGACTTGCTGGGGGCTGATGCTGAGTCAGAAAAGCTGTGAATGCAAGAGATGGAGGGGGTATCAGGTGTCTTTCAAGATGTGTACCCTGCATCCTGCATGAACAGCTCCCTGCCTGCTGTCAGACCATCATTCCTGCTACAGCCTGGAGGACACAGAGTGCCAGGCTGTACCTCTCCTGACCTCGCTGGAAAGCAAGTTGCCCTTGGTTACTCTATAGCCTGCTCTTGCCTCTGTGTCAACTAAGAAACCAGAGCTGGCCACAGAGGGCAGGGAGAACCACTGTACCAAATGCAGACCTCTCACCTGGTCCCACTCTGGCCAGTTGGGGCATGTATCTCCTCAAATGAGTTATGAGTAACACCTACTGTGTGCAGGGTTCCCTGTGGGAAGAGGAAGTTGAAGTGAAAGGGTAAGTGATGAAGATCCCCCATTCAGCTGAGAACACAAGGTCAAGAGGCAGAATTCATTGGGAAGAGAATGTATTCATCGCCCACCAACACCACCCACAGAGTTCTGGGCAGGGACTCGGAGGAGGAGATAGTCTTGCCTTCAGGAAGCACAAAGGATCAGAGGCTCACACCTTAGTGCAATCCAAAGAAGGTATAAATAGGATTAAGGAGGTTCAGGGGGAGCCTCCAAACCACCAGGGAAGCTGCTGGCAGCCCACCTCCACACACCTGCGGGGCCTCCCTACCCTGCACCTGATTTAAACTCCAGCTCCAACCGCCCCAACACTCAACCTGCTCTCTGCTAAGGTTAAACAGCTCACCCTTCTCCCAATTCCGATGATAAGTCTGCATGTTTAAGCTTCCTTTTGGCCTTTTCTATTTATGTTGTCATTGATTACTTTGCTCCTAACTCATCTGATTTCAATTTGGACTGATTTGATCCTAATTTTATTACCATGTAATCTGAATGCACATAATTACTGTAATTATGCTGCGGAGGGAAACAGCTCCTCCATGGTGGGAAGACCTAAATTTAGGGCTTCCTGGCAAGGGCGCCGTTGGCTGGATGGACCCACAGCTCCTCGGAGCTGGCAGGCTAAGGGAGCACAGATGCCCTCCCCCAACCCCACCCTCAGGGGCATGGCTATTTTGGGCTTTCATTTCAGAGATGAGCTTCAGGCCTTTCTCAGAAGCCCTGGAACAAGCAAGGGTCTGAGCTGGAGGTCAGGGAGCCTACCCTTCCGCACCATCCAGCTTCGGCCATCCTCCGCCACATGAACTCAACCTGGGGCTCTGGGCTCTGCTTATACCCGAATGCCACCCACATCCAAAGGCTTGCTCATCAGGGCACCTGCCCTCTAGGGCAAGACACCAACAGCCTTTCCCAGGGAACAAGAGGGTTCCCTGATAATCACTGGACTGAGTGGAGAAAGCAAGCTGTGGTGGAAAAGCCTGCCACTGACCAGCCTGGGTTCTCCCTACCCAAGTCCACATCCTCCATGAAGCCTCTCTGACCCATCCAGCCTTCTTCAGACTTTGTCATTTATGTCACACCTAAGCAAGAGACTGATTATTTCCATTACACAGATGAGGAAACTGAGGTACAGCAAGGTTACTTGCCTTACTGCCCAGTACGTAGGCAGCAAAACTCTTAACCACTTCATTAGTCTGCCCCTCCCAAAAACCTAGCGCCTAGTATGGTGTAGCCTTATATAATTCTCACAGGCCACAGTGGGCGTAGGGCCAGTACTTAAAACATAGGGGATCTGAGCATCAGAAAGGAAAAGGGGAAGGTGCTGGCCTTGACCTCCTGCCTTGTGCTTAGGAGTCCATCTTCCCTGCAGCTAAGAGAGAATGAGGCACAGGGATGGCAGTGGGAGGTGGGAAGTGGTGCAGTTTCCTATACTGGGGAAAAGCATTAGACTATGAAATTTGCAAGGAACTTATCGCTTCCCTTCCCAGGTCCAGTGATTTGTCTGCTAGCTGCCCAAGCAGAGAAGAGTGGCAGAAATTATCAAGGTTGCTAATTATGAAGCACCTCTAGATATACCTAGAGGCTGGACCCTGCTATCTTAGAACAAGCCTCATGCACTATGTTTATGATAAGGGTATGATAAGGGGTGGGCTGGGGAGTATCAGGCCTACAGGAAGTCAGGCATAGCTATCTCTAGGTGAAACACCTACTTTGGGAAACCCTGGGCCCAGTGTGCAGAGGAAGAACTGGGGCTACCTAGCCTGCAGGAGAGGAAAAATGGGACAGAAGCTGACCAGTGGGAGGGATGAGGCACTTGCTCCATGTCACTCAGGACCTAAGAAAGCCAAGATTTTTTCTGGAAATGAAACTGGATATCCCTGCAGAGACACCCCTAGGGGTCCAAGAGCCCCCTAAGGGCTTACAGCAGCCAAGCAGACCCAGCCTGGGGCTCTAGACTCCTGACCTTGCACTTTCACTGCTCCAAACTGCTGATCCCTTGGGGGAGTATTCAGGAGCCTGCAGTACAGGCCACCAGCTAGGGCGAGAGCCTGCCTTAAGCTACAGCTTCCTACCAGTTTAACTGCTTCAGCAGAGAGTGGTGAGCAGGAGTGGAGTCAGGGCACAGCCTGGGGGCTACAGCCAAGACCAACAAGTGGGCTGCAAAGAGGCCACCTTCCCTGTGCCACGAGCTAGGGCTGGCTCTGATCCCTCACACCTGTGGTCCCTTTCTATTGGCTGTGAGGTCATCTGAAGCCTCTAAAACGATGGGTGGATTCAGCCAACTCCGAAGATCTTGCCCACCACTCCCTAGGTTGGGCATTTGACTCTCTGGAGACCATATTTCAAGGTTTAACCACAAACCAGACTCAGGCCTGAGTGAGGCCCTCAGACTGAGGCTCTCAGGGTCTCAGCAGCCTGTCTCCCACCCCTAACCTCGGCTGGCACCTCTATCTCCAGCCCACCTATCACTGCCCTCCCCTGGAGGCTGCCAGGATCCCGGACCCTCCTGTCCCACCCCAACAGTTCACTTACCCAGTGAAGGGACCCGATGCAGACCTTGGCGGCCATCAGGGGGACAGTGGGGTCCAAGGGCCGCAGCTTCCTGCACTCCCGCAGCAGTGACACAGCATAGGCTGACTGCAGAAGCAAGAGCAGGATATGCCATCATTGGCTGCCCCGGGTCTCCACAGACTGTGGTACCTCGTGCCCTCAGGAGGGAGTTCCCCAAATAACCAGTCCTTGTTCTGTACTCCTTTCCTGTCAAGAGCCAGAACAAGGGCACAGTGGGAAGAGTTCAGCTGGTGTTCACAAGTAGGCAATACCTCCCTGGGCCTCAGTTTCCTCATCTGGAGAATGGAGGCTTTGACCCTTGCCATTTGGTGATGTGACAACAGCTAACATGACAACAGGTATCAGCTGTCCCAAAGGAATTCAAATGTGTATAGAGATGTTTAAAGGCTCTCTAAAGGGATACTCAGAGACAGAGCCAGTGAGGGGCTTGGCGATATACACGGAAGACAAGCCAAGAACCTCCAGATAGAAATATGGAAATCCCCAAGGGTCCATGGACTCAGCCTGGACTTGCTGAGGAGGCCAAGTGTGGAGAGAAAACCAGGAGGGGAGAGCTTCGGGGCCCAGGCAGAGATGTTACCAATAATAATAAGAATAGCAGCTAATACTTCTCCAGATCTTAGCATGTGCCAGGCAATGTTCTAACTCAATAGTGGGCAAAACAGCTCCAAGGCCAAATCTGGCCCTCAGCCTGTTTTTGTAAATAAAGTTTTAGAGAATTCAGCCAAGCCTATACAGTCTGCTGTGATACCACAGCGGAGTGGAATAGTTGTGATAGATTGCTTGCAAAGTCAAAAATGTTATCTATTACCTGACCCTGAAAAAGTCTGCTGACCCCTATACTAAGGGCTTTATAAATATTAAGTCATTTAACTTTTAACAACATCCCTGTGAGGTAAGCACAGTGACTCTACTTTACAGATGCTTAAGAGAAAAAACAGAGATATTATTAACTTGTTCAAAGCCACACAGCTCTTAAATGGCTGAGCAGAAGTTTGAACAGTCTGGCTGTTTTTGTTTTTGTGGTACTGGGGTTTGAACTCGGAGCCTCGTGTTTGCTAGGCAGGTGGCTCTACCACTTGAGCCACACCCCTAGTCCTGACCCTAACTTCTTAACCACTACCCTATATGGCCTCTGTGGTGATTACCTTGGCCAGAAAGCAAGCCTGATTCACACACACACACAGCCAGAATTTTCTGATTGTGACACCATTCCAGGAAACTCAACAATAACCCTTGCAGCGTGCATACCCCTCTACATATGTGACCTCCAGTAGGCAGGTGAGTGTGTGACTCAGATAATTTCCTTGTTCTGGTCCTACTGTGGGTGGAGCCCTCCACTGTTACTTAGCTCTCTCCCTCCCTGGCAACTTTAGGGGTGCCACCAAGGAGAGGGAGGCTCTGGCAGGGTATGAGTGACTGACAGATGTGCACCTGGGACCTAGCTGGTCTCTGCTCACCCCAGCCAACCTTCCTTCCTAGCTAACCCTTCCTTTCCCCACCAAGGAGGAATTTTCTTAATCTAGTCATTACAGATTTCCTGGGCTCTGGCTCACAGTTATGGTTTGGATATGATTTGAGTGTGTCCCCCAAAGGTTCCGGGCTGGAAGCTTGGTCTTCAGGGTGGTGGTCACTGAGGTGGTGGAACCTTTGAGCCACGCAGGAGGTGGTTAAGTCACTGTGGGCATGCCCTCCAAAGATTCCCGTGTAGAATCCTGGTCAGTTCTTGCAAAAGGTTGTCATTAAAAAAAAGCACAGCTGTCGCCTTCTCTCTGTCTGGCTTCCTGTCTTGCCATATGATTTCTCCCACTTGCACAGACTCCTGCCATGATGACATATGCCATCCACCTTCATACCTTGGTGAGAGTGGCATTCCCAGGACAGAACATCCATCATACAGCATGAGGTCCTCACCAGAGACAACTCAATGCTAGCACCATGTCCCTGAACTCCAAAACTGTGAGCTAAATAAATCTCAGACTCAGATATTTCATTATAGTAACAGAAAACAGACTAATACACTGAGACTCATGAGAACCATTACAGACATCTTCTCCAAAGGCCTGCTCTGGTCCTAGTACTGAGCTAGGGACTGCAGAGTCACTGTGAAAAGGGGGATGAAGCCATAGATTCTTGCTTCTAAAGGAGGCCACAAAAAGAGTGAGGGGCCAGGGCAGGAGGCAAATGCCACCATCCCCTAATGCTCTCTCAGGAAACAGGATAGTAGGAGGCTAAGCACAAAAATGGGCTCCTGCAGATCCAAAGACTACACAGGGGGCTGCAGCAAGGGAGGTGTGCCTGAAAGGCTTGAAGGAGTGTCAGGCCCCACCTTCTCTGGAGACCCCCAAGCCCCTTACCATGCTTTCCCATGCATAGCAGGAGACCTCAGGAATCTTCTCAGTCTCTTCTGGGCTGCTGACTCTTGGCTCCTTGAAATTCAGGATTCTCCAACTCTGACCCTCTACCTTCTACCCATCCCTTCTCACCCCACCCCCAGGCAGACCAAAAAAATGCTATTTAAGGAGCCATCTGAGGACTCAGCAGTCAGAGCAGCCAGCTTTTTTTTTTTTTTTTTTTTGTCATGCTGGTTACCTAGCAACACAGCCAATGCGACTGGTGCATGAAGACTAAGGAGAAGGAACGACCTAAATCATGCCATGGAGCTCATCCACTATTCCTGCAGGCTGAAATGCAAGTATATTTATACTTGCCCAGTCTCACTTTCTGGAAGGTACAGACCTGACTTGTCACCTTTGGCTCTTGGCAAAGGCAAGCTCCAGCCACTCCTCTGCATGCTGCCTGGGAAATTCAGGCAGATGGATTTAGCATGCAAGACTCCCGAGAGAGAGTGAGAAGAGAACGCCTTCAGAACAACCTCTGGCTGCAGGTAGCCCAGTGTGTTCAGTTGATGAAGCTTCACTGAGGAATTCACTGACCACCTCCAACTCCCTGTGCCCACCTTGCTGGACAGTGAAGGAGCCAAGCTAGCAAAGCAGCTCCCAGAGTGTGGGAAGGTACAAGCTGTGTCTGTGTGTCTCTGGGCTTGGCTGTCTCTGTAAAGAAGGGGAAAACCCCTCAGCTCTCAAGTGATCATGACACCTTTTTCTGAGCCTGGGGCCTCTGAAGAGCTCCCTTAGAAATTAAAGCTAACTTTTATGCATGGTGTATTTTTCTGAGGGAGGGTCCAAGCTTTCTGCAGCTACTCCACGGGGTCCATGAACTACAAAAGGGTACAGAACCCTGCCCTGGCCCTGGGCCTTTCCTGGTCCACGCTATTATACGACAGAGGTGTTTCCTGTCTCCTGCAGGCAACAAGAAGCTGCCCTGTGCTTCTGAGCACTGTATGCCCAGCTCCACTTAAACTCCAGCCCCCATCTCATCCCTACCTGCCCCTGCTACCCAGGCCGACTAAGGCTGGTACCTTCAGGACCCTCATCTCTCCAGCCCCCCACCTTCGCTCATCTTGCCTCTTCTGCTTGAAACACTGCTTCCTTCCACTGGCCTGCACTCATCTGCATCCTGCCAGCTCCTAAGATGGTCTCTTCCCCTTGTCTGTATTCCGAATCTTCCTGACCCTTGACAGGACCCTGCTGAGCACAGAGCCAGCAGATCACACTGTGACTTCAAGATGCTCTGGGAGGAGGCTCATCTGATGGGTGAGGGCTGGGAGGACAAATACCCAGCAGAGAGAAGCCAAAGAAGCTTCACATTGACTCAGCTGTGCTCTGTAGCCTCTTCTCATAGACCACAGCACCTGGTTTTCCTCCCCCTTCCTGCCAGGCCCTGGCCTGCCTCGATGCTGAGGCCCAAGGCTGGCTGGCACCCTTCCATTCGTGGAGGAGGCACTGGCACACTGCAAGGGTCCTCCTCAGAGACGGCTGCAGGGCTAGAAATGGAATGTGACACAGATGGGCCAGGGGGCGAGGGATTCCCTCAGCCCCAGGAAAGGGCTCTGGGTATTTATAGCTCTTGGAACCATCTGCAAGCTCATGGCACCTTATTTCCTGCATCCATAATACCCTCAGTCCCAGAACCTGCAGCCCCCAGCTCCGGAAAGGTTTTCCTTTCATGTCACCGCTTAAAATAGAGGCTGACATAGCAGAATTCTGATCTCAGAGAAAATCAGCAGTGCTGGCACAGGGGCCATTAGGATGGACAGCCAATGCCCGCTCTACATGCCTTGATCCAGGCAACCCTGGCCACATTCACCATGAAGTTCTTCCTCCAAATTCCCTTGGGGGTACTGCTGCTCCATTCCACCTTTGCACCTCTCCCTCAGAAGTGAGTTCCCATTCACAGGGAGGCCTGTTCCTAGTGCCTTGGTTGGGGGCCAGAACAGCGATCCCCTCACCTGCAGCCATGCCCACCAGCAGAAGTGCATGATGCCCCCATGTGTGTACCACACTCAGAAGCATCAGGTCACACCTGCACGAGGGCATGCTCGTCACTTGCATGTGGAAATAGGACTCACACAAGGTGTCTGCCCCCCAACTCTCTCCCCTCCTGGAGATTTGAACTGCTGCTAGACTATAGTTCCTAATCACCACTTGCCTCTCCCTGGCATCTGGCTCCAGAGAAGCTTCTGCCCACCACCTCAGAGAGGGACCTGAGGTCCTTTGGGGCCTCCAGAGAATAAGTATGCAACACCTAGCATCCCTGGGCCTTACCTTCCCACAAGCCACCATGGAGAGGGCCACCTGGTACCAAAGATGAAATTCTCCAAACGCAAACTTCATGGCTCGCTCCAGGCACTGGGGAGAGGGAGATGGTCAGCATTTTCCCATCAGGGCTCTTCTCACCCCAGCCATCCCCTTCCAGGTAACCACCGCCCAAGTCACTGCCCCCGGCAAGCTGTGGCAGGCCAACATTTGGTTCTTGTTGGAAACCCAGGGACAACCCAGACCCTGCCATTGGCATTCTCCCATCCAAGTACTAACCAGGCCTGACCCTGCTTAGCTTCCGAGATCAGATAAGATCAGGCACGTTCAGGGTGGTATGGCCGGAGACTGGCACTGCCATTCTATGTGACCCTGCACAACTGTCCTACCCTCTGGTCCTCAGTTCTCAACAACATAACATGTGGATGGTTTCATGGGGCCATGGTGAAATGAAATAAGATTTGTGAAGCTGCTTTCAAAATGTACATATCTAATAAATACAGCTAGCCTCTATTATTGTGCATGGCAGTGTTCTCAGCTTGTTCCATGTGTGAACTCGTTTATTTCTCCCAGCTATCCTGAGGTGGTGTCTCTACCCCATTTCACAGATGAGGAAGCTAAGGTCACACGGCCAGTAAAAGGCAGGGCAGCCTGGCAGGAAAGTGATCAGTGAGTAAGGGACATCTGGTTAGGCACTACCTGATTCTTGGGCTTGGGGTGGGCTAGTATGGCTAGCCATACCTCTGAGAGCATGATGTACTGGCCCCTTCTGCCCAGAGTGATGCTCAGGAGGTCATAGATGGCTGCAGCATTCTGCAGGCTCACTGTCCTGTCCTCCTCCTCCTCAGGCGCCCGGCTCAGCACCACATCCCGAGTTGCCTGTGGATGGAATGTGGTTTGGGAAAGAGTAAGACAGAAGATAAGCAGATGTCTATCCCCACAGGGTCCCATCTTGCTATCACCTTTTTACTGGTGCCCCAGGCCAGGCAAGAGGCCACACTCCTGGAAATAGCCCCATAATGAGGGCCGTCTTCAAAGACAGGAAACCCACCACCCTTAGCCAAAGGTGGTGAGGGAGCATCCTGAGGCTCAAGGTCCTATCATTCATTTTAAGATTCTGTAAAAATTGCAAACCTACAGAAAAGATGCAAGAATAGTGCTACAACCACAAACCCTTCATCTAGATGTGTCAGCTGTTGTCATATAGCACTCTTGCTTCACTCTTCTCTAATACATGATAACAATCACTATTGTCCTTTGTAATTTACTTTCTCTCATTCTGGGATCTGATCTGGGATCAGGCACCAGGTCCTTTAGTATTCATTCATTTGACAGTGTTTCCTCTCATGACACTGGCATTCACACAGTAAGGGCTAGCTGTGAAATTCTCCAAAATCATAGCAAGACTTCTTAAGATCCTACGGAAACTGCCTGGGCCAGGTAGGTGGCTCTGCTGTTTGATGCTCAGGAGAGAAGCTTGGCTGAGGCCCCTCTGTACCTCTTCTCTCCCTCCCATACACATCCTTTTCTTGCCACCCGTGTTTCTAGTCCAGGCCCTATTCAAGGACCCTCTTCTCTGTCCCTCCCTAGAGAAAGTCATCCCACACTCAAGAGCTCTGTTCTGAGTCCAGTACTTTAGGGGCTCCCAGAATTGCCAGATGGCTGCTCAGAAGGGGAGAGAAATTGTGCGTCATAAGCCAGCAATTTTATGCAATTCAGAGAGAGCTGTTTATCCACAGGCCTGAAATCCCCAATCAAGGATGGCGAACCCTCTTCTATGGTCTATGGCATGCAGTCCCATCTCTACACCCTGGGGACAGAAGAGACAGAGCAGAGAGGAAGTAGCTGCAGTAGTTGTGAAGGTCTCTGCATAGCAACAGGACAGGAACCAGGCTAGAGACACTGTGGAACCTGAAGCTACCTCCACCCTTGCACCTTACCACCACACCACCACCACCACCACCACCACCACCACCATCTCTCTCTCTCTCTCTCTCTCTCTCTCTCTCTCTCTCTCTCTTCTATCTCTCTCTCTCTCTCTCTGAGGGCTGTGTCTGGCCAATATGACTCCTAGCCCCACAGGGGTGACTCATCCACGGGAGGATATTTCAGGCAGGGAGATAGACTGGTGCCAGAGCTGCCTCTCCAGCCACAACCAGTGAGTGCTGCCCACTCCCTGACAGACATGGTTGGGTCAAAGACAGGATGCCAAGGAGAGGGAACCAGAGATGTCAGGAAATGTCCAGAAGAGTTGAGCCCTGATGTGAGTTTGGTAAAACAGGAGCTGGTAAGAGGCTCCAAAGGGTTGAGAGAGTGAGGTGGGGTGGAAAAGTGCCAAATAAAATCTACCACCACCACCACCACCACCACCCCGAGAAACACAGTCATTAACAGGGAGGGAGAAGAAATGCCAAAGAGAGGCTTGGCAGGATTTATTTCCCTGAGCCAAGCAGGAACACAACCTACAACCTGTGCTCCCCAGCAATGTACCTCTCCACTCGCCACCCCTACCTAGTAGCTCCTAGCTCTGGGAACCCAGTGGGGCAGAGGCAGCTCAGGGAGGCAACCTCCCCGAGACAGCAGTGGGAAAAGGTGGGAGGTAGAGAGAGGACAGAAAACAGAGCTCCGTCCTCAGGAGACCCAAGAAGAGGGCTACATGGTACATGTGCCTGAGTAAATTTGACTTGGAATTTTGGTATAAGGCAGAGGTCAGGATGGAAGGGGTGGAGCCAGGCAGTTTGCAGGAGTTTGGGGGAGTGAAGAGGTTTAGTAGGCACATCCAGGGCCTGGAGATCTACCCTGAAGATTGGCTATGTTCAGAGGATAGTGGCAGTGAGCTGTCTTTCCTGTGGCTGTCCCTCTAACTGGCTTCTTTTCAGTCACATGGAACTTCTTGCTGCTCCCAATCACCCAGATCAATTTAGTCAAGTTCCTATGTCTACCTGGACACTCAACTCAGGTTCTTCTCTTCCTGCAACTGACCCATTTCAAAGGGAAGCCAGGCCCTCCCCTCCTCACCAGCATATACCAGGCCCTGGCTGGCTCACTACTTTTGTGGTACATGTCATGTCCAGACTCCAAGGCCCTAGCACAAGCCTCCCACATGGACCTTCACTAGTTAAACCCAAAGAGGAAAATTCTGAGCCAGTGTGGAATTTCTGGTGTGGAAATTCTCTCCTCTGTCCACCCTGACCTTGGCCTCTAGGAAAACAGGCCTCTGAGTGTGTCTGATGGGAGAGGGTGGATTTTCAAAACTGGGTGTTAATTTGGTCAGAAGAACGGGAGCCGAAGAACAGACTACAGTAGGGAAAATATTCCTGGTGATCTGGCACCCCAACAGGCAGGCAGCAGGGAAGGCATGTTCTTGCAGGGTGGGGTAGTGAGAGTGTTCAGGTCTTGTGCCAAGAGGGCAACATGGATCCCAGAGGACAGCCAGAAGCAGAGGTCTGTCCAGCCCTTACCATAGCTTTATGGCATAGTGACCCTAGGGCACTGGTTACTGGGCAGCCTCTAAGAATGTAACCATGGTTAACAGGACAGAGTAGGGGAATTGGGGTAGAAAGAAGGAAGTGGTGGGGATTGATGGGTGAGCCACAATGAGTAGGAATTCATGTGCATCTCAGGATCCAGAGAAAACCTCTGAGGCCAGAATCTCAGACACTACTGGGTGAGCAGTCCCTCTCCAGCAACACTCTTAGCTGTCACACTACCTCCTTTCGGGGCTTACTGCCTTCAAGCCACACAGGCTCCAGAGGCAGCCTGCCCAAAATTAGTCCCAGCTACATCCTTTCCCTTCCACCATGTACATGGCCCTAGATTCCTGCTTTCATTAGGAAATCCTCCAGATCAAATGCAGTAACACATGAATGCACTTGGCACCTTAAAGCAATAACTAGCTACTAAGCTACCTCTCACCATCCTCCTCCATACTGTTCTTGAGATAATGGTAGAATATTCTCCCCTTGGGTTTCTCCCTGACCACCCTTCACTGCTATGGCCTCTACACCCACCTCCAACCCCTCCCTCCCTGCTTGGGGATGCACTGTTCTTGTTTAAGTCATGCTTCAATACCAGGCAAGGCTCCTTTGCCTTTGTGCCTCTGGTGGTTCTCCCAGGGCAGCCTCTCCTAGACTTTCACCTCAAGCTTCTGGCCATTAGAGGGGGAGCCAAGAGATGAGCCATGCCCCCATCATCTCACAGCTCCAAAATGCCAGTGGGACCCACCTCTGTCCTTTGCACAAGTATCCACGAGGCAAATACTGGAATATATTTCCCCAAAGTAGGCACAACTCTGGTTCACACAGTCCCCTAACTGCATGCCATGCACTGCCCTCTCAGGAGCTGAATTCTCATGCCCTCCCCCCGAACATTTAACTCCATGAGGGGGCAACAGTGAAACCATGTACACATACACACCCCAACCCCGTTGCCCCCAGATGAGGACTCTGAGTGTCTGAAGGTGAACAACTTTGCATGGCTCTCAGGAAGCCAAGGATGAACCTCTGCTAGCCGTCAAGGCTCTGCTCATCTCCGCCTAGCCATTTCTTCTCTCTAATCCTGGACTCAGATATGGCTCTGTCTAAGGAAAGAAGAGTACTTTCCAAGAGGTATCCCATCATTCCCGCCACCCTCTATTTTATAGACGAGATTTTAAGACTAAGGGAGGCCAGGCAAGCTGACCACCACACACAGAAAAAAAGGGTTAGGACCCCATTTATAACCCAGACATTCTGAATTCACCCCAGCTCCTTCCCTGTCTCCAGGTACCTCCTGGGGAAGTGTCCAATTGTCCATACCACCGGAGGCCCTGAGTTGGCTCTGCTAAAGAAAGTGGCCTTGCTACTTCTCTGCAAACATGTTCCTTGAGGCAATGGATACAAGCCCCTTTCACAGAAAACCTCTCCATAGAGGAAGCCAGCCTCAGGGTCTGTTGCTGACCCTCAACAGTCACCCCAGAAAGAAGCCTCTAGGCAGCATCTGAGCCTACAGCCTCCCAGTCCCTGGGGGACACTGTCATGTTCTGCTCCTGCTGGTGTCCTGTCACACATAATTACCACTGGTTCCGGAGCTGCCAGTCCATACAGCCAAGAACCAACAGGCTCAGTGACGTATTCCATCTACCCAACATCCCCCCACACCCCCTGCCATGCTCTTGCAACAAAAATCCCAGTCTTCCTGCCAACCAGTAGGAGAGGCACTCCCATCGCTACTGAACCAAGGACTCAGAGCTGGCAGTGCTATCATTGCCTTTTATCATCACAGCCTCAAAGCAAGGCCTTTGTTAGAGCAAACTGGTGCCAAAAGTTGGAACAATTTGTCTCATCTGCTGAGTCCCAAATAGAACCAAGCCCAGGAAACCCTTTTCTTAAAAAAAGAAAAAGCAAAACAAAACTGAATGTCTCAATCTCCCAACCAGATAAGGACCTACATGTTTTCAAAAAGAACTAAGTCAGAACCAAGTGTTTTTCAGGACAAAAACATGTGCTAAACAACTAAAATGTACCAGGCACCTTTGTGTTCGTTTTATTGTTTAATTAACCCAAACTCCTGTCAGAGAATCTCCATTTTACAGATGAGAAAACTGAGGCTTGGGGAAGTAAGAAACTTGCCTAACTATAAATGGTAAATTCAAGATTCAAATGTCCAGCACTGGGTAGAGCACAAAGCTAGCTTGTTAAATAGCAGGGTTCCGGTCCCTGGAGATATCCCCACCCACCCCACCCACACTCACTCCACACCAGGCCTCTATATATTTTCATTTCCAAGAAAGAGCTCATACCAGCAGCGACTTCCTGCCCAGTTAAATAAAAACAGGCTCAAGGCTGTTTGCTTTAGCACAGACTTTGGTACCCTGGATCAGTATTTTAGAAATGACAGATTCCTATATTTCCAGGTCCCCCATCTGTCTAAGAAAATCAGGCTAGTTTGATATATAGTTCTTCCAAAAATTATGATTTGTGTTTGGGGTAATTCCTTCTGATTTGGAGACCAGGATTTCCTATGTGTCCCCAGGCACTCACAGCACTGGGTGGGTAAACACTAGGGACAAAGACTTTGAACTGTTCATTATTGTAAAGTGCTGAGAATGGTCCAGCATGCTTAAACAATATCAGATGGCATGGGGGTACATGCCTGTAATCCCAGCACTTGGAGGCTGAGGTAGAAGGATCATGAGTTGGGAGGCCAGGCTGGACTACAGAGCAAGACCCTGTATCAAAAAACCAGACAAATCAAAACAAATAAACAAAAACCCCTAACACCCGAAAGCCAAGATTATAAAGATGAATGGATGGTGTGTGAACAGACGGATGGGTACGGTGGATAGATGGACAGATACACGTGTGGATGAGTGGGTAGACGGGTTGGTGCATGGATATGTGTTGGGTGAATGGATTTTAAATGCTCTTTTGGCCCCAAGACACAAAATTGACTTCAGAATAAAAATCTTCAATGAGTTGCATTCCTGGGGAAGCATTTGTAATTTCTATTTACCAGTTAGAAGACAAAGGCTCCGTCATTCATTTTGATCCAGGTCAGTATATAACAAATTCATATCCAAGGCACCAGACCCTATGCAGCTACTTTTCTGAGTTTTAAACCAGGTAGCCTGTAAACACCCGCTAGAGCTGCCACTGTAGACATCCTGGAGGTGGGGGGTGAGGATGATGGCTGGCTCTTAGAGAATAGCTTTTCCTGCAGCATAAGGAATTCTGCAGCTACCAGGAGAACCAAAGTTGCAGCCAAGACTGCCAGCTGCTATTCTAAAGATCTCACTCCAAACTCATCATCTGCAACCAAACCTAGCCAGCATCGAAGAGAGATGAGGAAAATCCCATAGCACATGAAGGCCAGGCTAAGGGTGTGGGATCAGAGCAGGAGTCTAGGGTGCTGGCCTAGTGGAGTCCACAGCCCAATTTTCTGGCTGATCAAGAATGTGATTGGAGGGAGAGAGGATATAAAAGAGGCAGTGGGGAAGACAGTCTGGTCTCTCTGAGGGACTACTCTGAGGCACAGAGGCCAGGTTTAGAACAGGGGTAGAAAGGCCTCTGCAGACATACTAAAGCCAGGTCATTAGCCGATGCTCCTCCTTCAAGTTTCCAAATGTCTGACAGGCTGGGTGTGGGCAAGAAGAAACAAACCAACCAGCCCCATGGAGGTGCCCCCTCCCAGCAACAGTGTCTGAATAGTCCTCCACATTGTGTGCTACAGGGAATTTCCCAGGACAATGCCTGGCTAGTCACTACCCCCGCCCCTGCCCGTGGGTCTTCTGGGGCAGACCAGCCAGCCACACCCCCTATTGCAAAACAGAAAGTTATTTAGAGGGAAGGTACATATTCAGGAACAATCACCTGGCTCCAAGTGTGGACCATGTTCTAGTTACAGGCCATTCTCTGTAGATTTAGGGCAGCTCAAGGTATTGGGGAGAAATAGCCTTAAGGCAAGTCATCTGAACTCTGATCCCCAGGACCCAGATCAAGCAGAGGCCACAGAAAATGACTTTGGGGGAACAGAGCCCAACCTTGATCTCTGCTGAGGAGACAGACAATAAACATCCCTGTTTACAAACGCTCCCTAAGACTTGGTACATTTGATTCTCAAAATGATCTCTTTGGCCCTTTTATGGATGAGAAAACCAAGGACCAGAAGAGGTAGAAAGGGACAGAACTATTATTCAAATCCAGGAGCTCAGGCTCATGTCCTGTGCTTTTAGAAGCCATTTGGGGAGATGGATATGGTTCGAATCATAATCACAAGGCTTGATATGTACATGTGCTGGCCTTTACTTTCCTCATCTGTAAGAGGGGAACATACTAGTATTAAGGTGAACTATATGAAACTGTTGTCTGCATAAGTCATAAATTATAAAACATTGCCAATCTCACACAGCTCAACAAAATGCTTACCAATGAGGTAGTCAACTTGGTCTCTGGTAGAGAAGGGACCTAAGAAATAGTCCTGCTTCAATCTATTACCTGTTCCACCTGTGAATCATGCTATAAACCTCAGCACAAGGTGACATGTTCTTGTATCTCCAGAGATAGGTGACTGACTCCAGGGCAGTCTCACCTGAGGGTATAGGTGGTACAGTCAAGTAGTAGTATTGGTCTGTATCAGAGGTCTCTGATTAGAACCTAAGGCTCAGTCTGTGGTCAGAGAGACTGCCATTCTCCTGCTCGCCCATGAACATCAGGTCTGGCACTTGGCACCTCCATCCCTACATCTGGCGAACTAAGTGTCCCTGACTGAGTCACATTTACCCTCCCCACAACCATACATTCATACCTTTCAGGACAGTGCCCAGACAGCTGGCAGTTCAACTCCAAAGACCATACCTCTATGCAGGAAATCTCAGATTCAAAAGGGACTGGCCTAGCTGAGGAAGGACAGTCTATATGCCCAATGGTCCAGTGTCCCTCCTCCTGTCTACCTGCCAGGAGGCCTGTGGAGGCAGAGATAACCCATCCACTAAAGTTCCCAGCACTGTCCATCTCAGATGTTCAAAGGATGCTCAGTTCTGATGGTTCATGGACTCTGCTCAAAGGTCTTGATTTCCTAGAAGGCAGCTCTGGTAACCACTACACACACCACCAAGGCCTCTGGGTGTTGGGTCTCTTAATTTCTGCACTGCTCTCAGAAGCACCATCTTAGAAAACCTGTTTTTTTTTTTTTTTAATCTGGTGGTCCCACCTCACCTGATGGCTCCACCATTGGAAGAACTGTGGAGCATGTCATCTTGTACTAAGGGTTATGAGGTGATTCATGGGTGCATGGTAAAAGATAAAATCAGGACTGCTTCTTAGTTGACCCCAGCTGTGGGGGACACACCTCCATACTTAAGTTTCTGCCCTTCTTGCAACCTCCCTAATCTGTCTAGTCCATCCTTTATCACCACCTCCTGGACCACTCAAGTCTCTGCAGAGCCTCCAAAGCATTCTGGCACTAGGAAAATAGTGCCTCGTGCTGTGATCACTATGTACGTGCATGCGGCACTCATATTTGCATTCCCCCATCTCCCTACCAGGGCACAAGAAATAGGTCCTGTCAAAAAGTCTAACAGAACTTCTCCTGTGCCTTTTCCAGCACCCACTGTCCCCACCTCTGCCTTATTTTTCCATAGCGTACACACAGATACCCTGGATACCAGAATTGCTTATTAGTTTATTGCCATCTCCCTCTCTAGAATGTGGGCTTCATGAGGGCAGGGACTTCCCATTTTGCTTGCTATAGCATTCTGGAATCTAGAACAGGGCCAGGTACAAGACCCATAATCAATCAGTAGTTGTTCTGGGAATGTGTGATTTTCTATCCACACTTAACCCCTGTGAATTACCATCATCTTCTGAGAAGGAAACTGAGGCTCAAAGAGAATGATTTGTTCCTGGCACTCCGCTAAGACACAGCTGAAACCTGAATGCAGGCCTCCTGCCTCCAAAGCTTGGGCTCTTTCTGCTCCCTACCTGTGCTCTCTTATGCCTGTCACAGCATCCAGCACAGAGTTGCTTTACACATACTCGTAACTTATGATAATCATCTTTTGAAATCCCAGAAGAGGGGCTGTGCACTCAGTCCCTACTCGCCTGGGGCCAGAGCCTAGGCCTCCCTGGGAGGCAGAAGTTGGCCAGGAGATGGATGGCCTGGCCCAAGCCCATAGCATCCCAAATGCAAGGTCAGAGGTTCCTGGGGCTTACCATTGACTCACTGATGAGCAGCAGCAGGAGGGCCTCTTCTATGTTATCCTTTGGGCAGTAGAGGCTAGAAAACACAAACAGCAGCCCTGGCTTTAACCCAGCCTGCACCAATGGCACCTCTGGCCCCCTGTGCGCCCTTCTGCCCCAAGCCAGCACCAGCCTGGTAAAGTGACCCTCTCCTGCATAATTCACAGGCACTGATACCACATGCAGCTCTTAAATGGGCCCCTGAGTTTTGGAGTTGAAAGGGTTGCAGGTGTTCCTGGGGAGGAAACGACCTGTCTAGCTCCCATCCAGCCCCCAGCACTGCCTGAAGTGTAGAGAAAGGCCTAAAGTGTGGGAGAATGAAAAAGAAGCTCTGCAGGCAGCTGCAGCCCCCACATTCAACTATGGGTAAGACCATCCAGAAGCCAGGTAACCTCTAAGTAACACATGTAGCCTCTGGGTGCCTTGCAGTATTCTCCATCAATCCAACTGACCTGCCTTTCCTAGGTTCTAAAGCATGTGCCTGGCACTGTGCAGGGTGGAGCAAGGAGCTGCCAGCAGGGCAGCAGGACAGGTGGAACTCACTTGTCCCCTTCATAGAGGTGAGGTTTCCGCAGGGTCTGTGTGATGAAGGAATTCTCCTCCTTGCTCATGAACTCAGGCAGAGGGTGGGACAGGGGGCTCCAGTAGCACTCCTCACTCAGCGAGTGCAGCAGCACCCCCGCCAGGTGCTTGGCCGCCATCTGGCAGAGAGTGAGGAACTTAGATAGGACACACGTCAGGCTCTCCCCTAGCTCACATAGGTGGCTCTCCACACACCAGCAGGGCAACATGCCAGCTTCACAGTGCACTGCCTCTCCTGGAGGCCCCCACAATTCCACTTTCAAAGGGCCCCCTCACTTCTCTCCATCCCTCCGTCACTGAAGCTCCCCATCCCTCCTGTTGGCCTTCAATACAGATTCCATCTTTTCTCTTCTCTCCTCTCCTGGACAGGAGGTGCATTTCCTTTTCCTCATGACCCCAGAGAGCCCAGTACAACTGAGAACCCACAGGCCCTTCCAGAGGTGGAAAGGCCAAGAGGTCACAGGCACAGGCAACTCTCTCCACCACATGCCTGCTTATAGATTCTGATAGCTGACCAAAAACTCTAGTGTGAAAAGCAGCTGTGTGGTCTGGACTTTGGAGGAACTAAGGCCTAAGAAGGCAGGCCTGAGTTGAGGCAAGAAAGCAGTCAATGGCATTGTTAGGATCATAAACAAATCCCTGAGAATGAGCAGTCACACTTTGCTACGACAGTGGTGCTCATGGAAGGGAAGGTGGTAGATTTCAACTCTGATCTGATGCTAGGGGCTATTGCAGTGCTGTGGTGAGAACAATGCCAACAGGAGCTTCCCAGGCTCCTGGGGAAAGAATGCTGGGATTAATTAACACTGTCTAACAAGAGTTAGGGGAGGGTAAGTGCAGAGATGTGACACACTATCATCTCTGTTTTGGGGGCTGCCTGTTAGGACTTCTGCTGTCTACCACCAAAACTGATGCCCAAATAAACCAGTCGGAGTCAGCAGGCACATTACCACTTTGAAATTCTGCGTTGCTTTGGTCTCCACAGTCCGCAGAACTTCTCGGAGCTCCCTCATGCCTTTCACAATGTTCCTGGAGCAGGGGACAGAAGAAGCAGGGTCATTACCAGTATAGCTCCACTGACACCCACAGCAAGACTGCTGGCTGACACGAAGAGCAGCCTGTCTGTGTGAGTTTTCTTGGAACAGCTTCAATCATTGGAATGAAAAGCCAGAGTTGTAACTCCAGGACCTTGGAGGTCCCTTCTCTTCCAAATCCTCCAGCCACTCAAGCTTCCAGTTTACCACCAAAAGGGTACTGAGGCTGAGAATTGCAAACAGGAAGTCACCTAGACCCAGTGTACTGGGTGGTGTCAGACCTTTTGACACAATTCTCCATCTTCACCTGCTGTACCCAGACCATGCAGGAATCCATCCCTACCTCTTGGTCTCTATCACTAAGCCCCAGGTCAGCACCTGTTTCATCTTGGGCCCAATGAACATACCAGGCAATCCCACTCCCTCTGATCAGCCCTTTGTGCCTTGACATAATTTCCAGGGTTGCTACAGTATGACCAATAGTGTGAAAAACACATCTCACATTGTAACCCAGTGTATACTTATGATTTCCTTACAAAAAACCAGAGGTTTCTTGACATAATACCTATTTCCACTATGTGTACTCACCTCTGGCACTTTCCATTTTACTTTTCCTCCTCCTCTGCTTTTTTAAAATGCTGGCTGCTGCACACTAAGTCCATCTTGCAGCCCACTGATGGATTGTATTCTGCAGTTTGAAAAACAGCTCCCACTGCCTCTGGAGGTATCTAGCTCACAGGCAGAGACCAACTGGATCCTCCCCAGGTCATCCTCTTTGAAGGCCCCTTGGAGCTAAGAATCCATAAAGGCCCGCAGCACAGCCTACTGGGGCAAGTCCTTTCTGGAAGACCCTAGTTCCTGATGTCAAATCTTGGGGATGGACTTCTCCACTGCCTTCCACAGCCTTTCCCCCATCATCCAAAAAACAGTTCAAAGTTGGGCGCTGGCAACTCACACCTGTACTCCTAGTTACTCAGGAGGCAGAGATCAGGAGGATCATGGTTCAAAGCTAGCCAAGGCAAATAGCTCATGAGACCCTATCTCAAAAAAATCCATCACAAAGAAGGGCTGGTGGAGTGGCTCAAGGTGAGTTCAAACCCCAGTACTGCAAAAAACAAACAAAACCAGTTCCAGCATCACTACTTCCTCCATGAAGCCCTCACAGACCTCTTCTCATGCTGGCCCTTTTCCATGGACAGTGCTGACTTGGGCACTCTGTGGTCTCCAGAGCAGGGCTCATGTCTCACATGTTCCTGAAGCTCAGCCCATCCCAGCTCCTGCTCAGGCTTTATGTGAGGATGACCCTGATCACCCACTCAAGGGGTTCCCTGGATCACACAAAATGGAGAAAAGGAAAAACCACAGAGGATGACCAGCCAAAGATAGCAGCCAGGAGCCCCTCTTCACCTCTCTCAGGTTCCTGGGAGCCTTATAAGGACAAGTTTGCAGACCACCCTTTACCTTCAGGGAAGCTCTGACTTCAGACAAGAAAGCTGAAAATGTATAAACTGTCAACATTCTGTTTTTAAGGCTGAGAATGAAGACCCCTGGGGTAGAACCAAAGTCACAGCCTTCCCTAGCCTACCTAGTACTGTGAAGAACCAGGAGTGGTACACAGGACAAGGAACCTCAGCCTCTTTTAGAACAGTTCAAGTCCAAGTGCTGCTACTACTGGCATGTGGTTCAGCAAAGCAGGCTCACCTCCACGGGCCACAGTCTCATCTGCAAAATGAGGACTTCCTCTTAGCTCATACCATGTTCACCATTCTTACCACTAGACAGACATCGCTAGTATTATTGTTTATGTAATACTTCCATTTATACCTTCTTTTTACTTCAGTAGATATCTCACCTTAATAAAAAAGTACCTGAAATTGTGGATGATGTGATGGTTATCAGTTTTTGCCAAGAGATATTAAATGCAGAAGTATTTGTAAAAAGTTAGTGTGTTTATCACTTAAAACTACCTTTGTGTCAGTAGGGAAGCAATGGCGTAGGCCAGAGTTTCTCAAAGTGTGATCTCTGGACCAGCAGTATCTACATCCCAGAAATTTGTTGGAAATGCAAAATTCTGAGCACACACATGCACACTCTCTCTCTCTCCCAATCTTCTCAACTGGAAACTCAGGTGGGGTCCAGCAATTTTGTCAAGTCTCCAGGGATTTCCAATGGACACTCAAGCTTGAGAACTACTGGCTTAGAGGATCCCCAGACTAGTTCTCCTCATCTACAAAGCCAGATTTCAGAAAGGGACAATCTGACACAGAAATCTCAGCTTGAATGTGAGACGGCCTCTCTAAGTCCTACGATTCCTCTTTTCCTCATAGAACTGCCAGGAAGGTGACAGATGCAAAACTCAACACACCCAGGTAGGTGGTACAGGCTTATTAAATTTTTTTTTTTCTCCTTCTAACTTGGATCTTAAAGATCATATTACTAATGCTTTAACTTACATTATTTTGCATGGAAACTCAGGAACTAACGACTGGGAAAGAGGACAGAAGTACCCGAGGAGTTCCTCCAGCTTTGGGTCCCTGGCTCTACAAGGGAGATAGAACAAAATTTCCAGGGCTGGTAGAGTAGCTCAGGTAGTAGAGTACCTGCCTAGTAAGTATGAGGCCCTGAGTTCAAGCCCCAGTACCACCAAAAAAAAAAAAAAAAAAAAAAAGAATTTTCTGATAGATGGACATGGGGTCCCCACAAACCTAAGAAGGAAAAGTCTCCTGTAGAGATCCTTGAGACCATTGAAGCCTCTCCTCAAAAAAGGACCCGGAGCTGAACAGTAAGCCACGGCCAGGCCCAGTCAACTCAGGGTTTAACCAGGTACCAGCTATGACTAGGACAAAGAATAAAGACATAGATGCATGAGCTCTGAGAAAAAGAAAGGAAATGGCTGGCCCAGGGAACTCAAGAGAGTTCAGCCTGGCAGAGCAAAACAGCCTCAGGCTCATGCAGGCTGGCCCCTGGAGTTGCCCAGGACCCTGTGGCCCAGAGGAGGCCAGCAACTCCAGGGACCTTGGGTGATTTTCCACTCTGCGGTCTACCTTCCAGCCTCCTCCCTGGCAGTCTGGCCCAGGCTGCTATGAAGAGGCAGGAGCCAAGAGTAACTGTGGACTCTTCTTCCCACTCCACTACAAGGACTATCTTCTCTTTGCTGCTTCCATATGACCTCAGCCTTTAGTCTTCATGTCAGCATGACTCCTGAACCATTTCCTGGGGGCTGGAGAGGAGTGCTGACTCCCACGGCCCAGCCACCCCCAGTATGCATACAAGTAAGGAACTGGGCTGCATTCTGTGTCCCAAAGGTTGTGTCTTTTTACTATTTTCAAATCTATAAGGGATTTTGGCATCTAAATAAGCTCCCAGAAATTCTTCAGCAAAGCAAATCATCACCCTCAGGCAAGTTTTGAGTAAATCCCAATTTTTTATTGAAGGAAAACCCACACGGTGGTTCTAATAGCCAGGGATGATTTGAGGTCCCAGCCTCTGCCGCCCTGTTCTACCATGTTGGGGATACTCCTCTGCCTTGGCTCATCCCTCTGAGAAATGAGAGACTAGATGGGGCGTCTCAAGCATCCCACATGGCTGCAGCCTGAGCAACCTAGTTCAGATCTAAAGCTGCCTGTGACAGGTGGAGCTGGGGCTTTTCCGAGGCAATTCTGGATGCCCTGTGAGAAGCCAACTTGAAAGATCTCTTTGTTCCAGTCTCTCCTTCTGACCTTTCTGAGCCAAGCTGCCCACTTTTAACAATATCCAAACAGGGCCTCAAACAAACCCTGGCCCAGAAACAAGCTGTGTGGGGAGAAGCCAGGAAGCCGTTTATTCCAACTAAAGTAAAGCCCAATTGGCCAGGAAAAGAGAGAGAGGTGTGGTGATAAGTCAAGGACAATGGGTCAGCTTAGGGAGGCATCCAGGTGGGATATGCGAGGGTGGACAAGCCCTGAGTCCCCTCCCTGTGTAGGGGTGCACATTTTTCAAAGCCCTTCCTTCACTCACTGTGTTTGGTCTTCACAGTCTCTGATGAGGAGGGTGAGGCCAGCAGGCTCCATCATCCCAGTAGGTAGAAGCACAATGCACGGTGCACATAAGGTACTCAAGAAATCATCACTGAATAAATGAATCTTCCTTTTCCAATGGGGGAAGTAAAGCCTGGAGAGTGCCTGCCTTTCAAGCCATCATTTGCCCAAAGGCAGCAGTGGACTTACAGAGGGCACCAAGGGCTCGTGTTTTACTCCCTTTTAACCCTGAGACACCCTGAGGAAAACAACACCTGTCTTCCTACCTACACACTTACACTTTCCTCTCCTGGCCATTTGAACTCCAAAACTGTGACTCAATTTACCAACTGCATACCAACTGTCTAGTCATCAGCCCTATTCGTAACAGTCAGTCAATAAATACCAGTAAATTAAAAAGACTGACCGAATGACTACCTTACCTATGGCCTTACACATAAGGAGTTCAGAGTCTGTTAAACTAGCCACACTCCTGATTTCAACAGGGACTAGCCAAGTTTTTGCACATAAGTGTTTGATGAATTTTTTTTAATAGGGGTGGTTTGATTTGAATATTAGAGAATGAGAAACTGCATGAAGTTGATTGCTGAATGGAACCTGATCAGACACTGGTGCACATGACCCTAACCAGAAGTCCCCATTTCAGAGCTGGCACTGTGCATGAGAGATTTCCAGTCAAGGACCCAGATGGGCACAGTCAGTTGGCAGATACCACTAGCTGGAGGGCTGAATCAGCAGACAAGTTTAGGTGAAGTTCAATGCTATCAAGCTGGCCACTTCTGCCACAGACCCAAATCATCTGCTTCAAAAACTAAAACTCTCCTCTTCAGCCCTAGCCCCAGAGGATGGTGGAGCACCAGGGTCAGAGAATGTCCAGGACTAAGATGTCCAGGCAATGCACTCTTTCCTTTTCAGTGAGATGGGGGAAATGAATGAGGCACAAGGTAGAGCCAGGTGCAAACAATAATAAGTGCTGTGC